TTAATTTTTTTAAGCAAAATTTTTAAATTAGTTTTTAGAATTGCAATTTTAATTTTTAAAAACCTTCATTCTGTCTCTTAAACCCTACATTCAAGTAAGTAGACATTTTTAGACCTTTGTCAAAACCAAGCGAGTGGCGAATCGAACGAGCAACTAGCATAAATCGCAGACAATTAAAAAGCGAAAGTACTACTTTTAGCATATTCATTTATTGATGCCTAACTAGTAAAACTAGAAAAGTGTAAATCTACTCGCAAATAGTTTAAAATTACAAGGCATTATTCTAAAATCTTCCGAAAGCTGCACTTTACCCTATCGCTCAAATGTCTACATATATATCGATATATGTATATGCATTTAGCTGCACCCTTGCCTTATTGCATTTATATAAGTATTTAATTTTATTTCAGCGTCACAACACAGGCGTCCCTCCGCCCGTCCGCTAGCCGTATAATWTCTGTGTTTACTGTAATGTTAAAATTATAACGCATAAGTCACGAAATCGCTTAAGGCGACTGTGAGGTTGTGGCAGCAATGCAATAAGAAAAATGGGATGTAAAGAAAATATAAGCAAGAATAATTTGCTTGGCTTGTATTTAGTTGGGGCGGCAATTGCAGTTGCGGGACATGTTGCAGCCGCCGCCACCGACGTCACCGCGGCATGTGAAAATCTTTCAACACGAAACATGCTTTTTTTCTGCAGCAGCAGCTACTACTGGCTATAGTCTATACAGCATTTTATTTAATTTTTTTTTTCGCTTTTTGTTTTGGCTACAGCTGAGCTTGTGTGTAATTTTTCGAAATTTTTTTCTTTTTTTTATTTCTCAAAGCTTTGCATTGTTGCTTTGTTTGGCTGCAGCCATGTTCCAATAAGGTCTACGTAAGCACATTTGCACATATGCAACTGAATGTGTGTGTGTGTTTCTGTATTTCGTTAGTGGCAGGCATTCTGCCATATGTAAGACTAATTTTATACGCGCTGCCATAACAACAAAATGGTTTATTAAGAAGGGAAATGAAGCGTTTGCCATGTAGAAATTAAAAACAGCAACTACGCAAACAACAACAACCAGCACAATATTGCAGTGCAGAAAATGTGCAATTTGCGGTATGCATGTGTGTGTGCATATATGTGTTGGTGGAAAAGAGATGGTGCGCTGGTGTGGCGCAGCGCAAAATGCGCAAAAGTCTGTAAAAATAGACACACATGTGAAATAAGTGAGACGAAAAGCAAAAAGCTACAAATTGCTAGCGGAGGGGGCACCGCATAACAGCAGCGGCAGCAGCCGTAGCCGTAGCCGTAGCCGTGGCATGATGGCGTGCTAAAGTTAATTAACCGACAATTTTCTGCTTTTTCTTCATATTTATGCATTGCTTCAGCGCGTTTCTGATATGTACAATTTTTTTCCGCCGCACAAATTCTTTCAGCATTGTTCTTGCTTTTACGCTTTATTTTCTGCCTGCAAAACAATTACTAAAAATAATAGTAAAAAACAAAAAAAAAAACGTTGTGCTCAGCATATGTTAGTTATGCACAAAACTCACTGCATAAGTGGCACTAATAGCGCTGCGAATAATTTCAAGTGATTGAGCGACCATGAAAAATATTACAATTAAAATTAAAGAGCAAGAGTAGCTGAGAAACTGGCGCTGAAAGCAATAGCAGCAGTTTATATTAAAAAAAAATTTTTTCATATTGAAATAGAAATAATTATGTTTGAACAGARTAGCATTGACCTTTGGTCGTTTTAGAAAATTAGACAATAAATAACAACATGGTAGCACGGCTGCTGCAAAGCCACCCTACGCAAGCAGAAAAGCAACAAATGATAGAACTAAAAGCCGACTGGCAACTGATCAGCACATATGAATGTAAATATGTACCATATCTATATATTTGTGTATATGTGTATGTGTGTACGATTGCTTGTTTGTATGCGCACCACATTTGTGTGTAAAAATGTTCCTCAACCGCATCTAAGTATTTATACCACATTCGTGGTCTCTAATACCGCCGTCATTTAGACTTTCAKTTTGTCGTTCCAACTCCAACTGTCTAATAATAATGAAATATTTGAGGAAATTCTTCAAAGATTCTMATTTTCTTTTGTTCTGCTTTGCATGCATGTATCACAGTATTTAGGCGGCAGCAATATGCTTGTGAATGTATGTGATTATGAGTATGCTTGCACTCGCTACGCCACATAATTCAACCAAAAGCGTAGAATTTGATCTTAAAACTCCACAATAACAACAACAA